GAAAAACAACAAAGTATCTAAAACAAAATTATAAAAGAATTAAGAATTGATAATGGAAGAATTTTGAAAACTTAAATAGAAAATTTAAAGCAAAATGATTTTGAAAGCAAAACTCAGATTATTTTTGTTTAATTGAAATTGTTATTCTTCATATTTACTGCTACTGTTTTCATATTTTATCAGGTGACATGGATAGAAATCCCCAAAACAAATCACTTTTAATGTTACTACACAATAACTAAGATATACAGGAACAGAAAATGACAACAATTAGAATAATATAAATCAATCTAAATGTCTGTCAAGTCTACTATGAATTTTTTCAGCATCTTGGATATGTAATGTGAATTTGTTTCTAAGTATATTCATTTTTTTTTTATATTAATGATACAAAATGTTACAGTTCAAAATATTAGAACTTCTTGTAATGATTTTGTTTCATGTCTTATAACAGATGAAATTCTTACAGCTTTCTCCAAACAACTAACTTGTTTTCAGTTATGGTCGATTGGACACAATTACTTGGTTTGTGGTTATATGCTTCAAGTCAATGGAAAAGCATACACAGTAACAAGACTATAAATTAACTTGAGTATAGAAACCTCAATGCAGAGAATTATTCCAAAGTCTGGTATTTGTAAAATTTAACTAATTTTACAAATACAAGATTTTTCAATAATTCTAAGCAGTACATACTTATCTGAAGTTCTTTCCTGTTTTTTTTTCTTTATGACTCACAGGAAAGAACTTCAGATATAAAAAGATATTTATAGTTTTAAAAAAATATTATAAGAAAACAAAAATAAACAAAATAAAAATAGCATATTAAAATATTACTTTCAACTTGCTTTTGGTCTCGGCTGTAATCATTTTAAATCTGAGATTTGGGCAAGGACAACAAAAAAATACTCATAACTGAAAATTTTAGGATAGAAGAAAAAAGGACTTATAATAAAGGAAGGTATTGTGCTAATAGTGCTAAAATACACTAACAAGAGAAGAAAAAAATAAATTTTAATGACTATATTTGACAATGAAGGAGAGTCATACTGCTTGGTCAAGGTTTTAAAAGTATAAATGCTCTATCACCCAGTGTGGTGGTAGTAGAGTAGAGAAACATGATTATTCAATAAGCTAAATCTGTTTGGACAGAATGAACTAAATGTCAAAATTAAAAAAAAAAAAAGAAATATTATACATACCAAAACAAGTCACTGTATTTAATTCAAGAAAAAGCATGGCTAAAATTTGCATTATGACAGTCTTATGACCAGTTAACCAAATATGCTAATACTTCTTTATAATTCATGGTAAATACACAATTCTCTTTCTTTTCCTCTCTTTCCCATTCTTTCTTGTGAGAAAAGGCCAAGACTTTGCTTAGGAATTTGTATTTTGAAAATGATGAAATTTCTGTAAACATGAACAAGAAATTGATGATGATGATGATAAAAAAAAAATTTGGATGCTAATAATGGGCTTATTAAAAAATATTTATTACTTTAAATAATCATTCAGCTATAGATTTGGTAAATTTCAGTTCAAAAGATGTTATGTTCTTTTATTAATAAAATATTAATCCAAAATATAACAAATTATGTATAAAAATATTCCAACTCATTGATTCATGTCAGGATTTTTCATTTACATTCCGATTTAAAGACAACCTAGTATTTTTCAGAAATTGCTTCCACACTTCTTAAAATAACTTGTAACCTAATACTTTTTCCATACTTTTCTTCATTTATGAATAAATTAAATCCCCAATGTTTGCTATATAAATCACTAAATTTAGATTTGATACCAAAGGATTTTTTAATATAGCCTTAATTTTAATATAAAAAGCTATTGCTGATGTATTTGGTTGCAGTATCAATGTCATTATTATAATCATAATATCAGCAACATATGATTGTCATACACAAAAAGTATAAGAATAACTGTAAGCATAAAGAATAAATAAGCAGTTGAATCGAGATGCCAATTCCTAATATTAAATTCAACCTAACAAGTGAAAGATTCAACATACCATATTAAGGAAAAATGTGATGGATGAGTCAAGCATAGATTGTAAAACTGACCCATTCAGATACCATATTTTTAAGTCATTGAGTTAATATAAATTAGTGGTTCACCACATTTTCACCATGGAGAATCTTTTTTTTTTCCCTCCAGAACTCAAAGTATTTTATGTTAACAATGGCAATAAAAAATGTTGTCTTCAACCAGATTCAATTAATAGATGTACTTGGCAGGCTATTAAAGACAATGGTTTAGGGAAGTGAAATTTCAGAAGTTCATCTTTAGCTTAAGTAGCCTTGTGTTTGAGCATCTTAAAATTTTGAACTTCAATTTCACTCTGCTTTGTAAATCTAGAGACTTTGGGTTGAGAACCACTATCTTATTTCAATAATACAGAACAGTCTAAAATAAAAATCAAAGACTGTAACTCAGAGTAAGCCTAAGCTGTATAACTCCCTCCATGTTAGCGTGATTCTGTAAATAACTGAAACTACAAATGTGTATGTGCAGTTGACTTAACACCTTCATCACCTCCAAAAGCCTTTAATCTGACCAAACACTTAATTAATCTTATACACTAAAAGAGGCAAAAATGTGATGCCTACACTGAACAATATCTTCCTTTTTTCTTTTTTTTGTTTCTAAAATTTAAAACAAATGTTTGATCAAGTTTGGCTGGTATCAGACTTGTGTAGGTGAATAGGAACTATACCTCCACAGAAGACAACACTACATTGACATCAGTGAGAAGTGAGTGGAGAAAATATCACAATAGAGGGATCCTTTTCTTTGTTTTTTTTACTTCTTTATTTATCTATTTACTTTTTAAAGAAAAAAGACAAATCCAAATTGCAGTGCTAGATCTAGTCTACAGCCAATCTATAATTACTTCCACTGGACAACAATACAGAGCATGTCATGATCCAAAAGAGCTTTTGATTGAGAATTGCTACAGAGTCTACAAACTGCAAATGGCAAAATCTGATTGCAACTATCAATTGGAAAAAGAAAGAGAGATATCAAGGGAGAGACATCTGATACCTGAAGCACAAACAGTAGGACAGCTTTGACATAACATCCTGCAAATACAGTATGACCATCTTACAATGCAATACTAAAAATCAAGAACACACACAAAGAAAAAAAATACTGAACATCTATTGGAATTGATCTATGAACAACAGCCATTCTAGGGATATTCACTTGTACAGTACAAACAAAAAAAAAAAATTTTTTTTTATTACACTGAATAAAGAACAACACTGTTCCTCAATACACTCACTCACGCACATTCATATAAAAAATGAAAAAATTAAGAGAATATCAAACGTTTTAAAAATTCTGTGAAAAGAGAAAAGGAAATAGTTTTCTTGTATTAGTTCTATTTTCCATTGGAGATAAAATCCCATTACTAAAATACAGTTAAGGAGGTATTTTGTTGGTTTAACTAAAGCAGGAAATTTGTTAGAAATGGTTGAAGACTCAGATTAGTAAAGCATAATTATACAAAAAGAAATAGATGAATATGATTGTAGACAGTTTATAAAGATGTTATTTAAATGGTAAATGTTTTAAATAACTGTTTTTGTAGTCATAAAAATGCTATTTATATTGAATAACATTAAAATTATATTTATCTAGAATATTTATCAATTTTTCATAACTTAAAGAGCAATTTAGTCTTTGAAAATAATTACAATAATAACTTAAAATTATTTTACAGTGAACACATACAATTTCTTTTCACAATTATTTAAATTTATTATCTCAGATTTATCTGAAAGAGAATCCTACTCTTCTCAAAATATTCTTTAATACTTTAATCTGAATATTTATTGTTAGTTTTATTATATTTCAACTATGTTATAAGTAATATTAAATTTTAAAGTAAATTTATTAACTTAAGAGCTTAAACAATTAAATATACAAGAGGAAATTTACTCAGAAATTTCTTGAAAAAGGGATTTTATGAATTGTTAAAGTATAAATAAATTTAACAATTCACAAAATCCCTTTTTCAATTTTTATATTTGTTTATATATTTTATATAAAAATATATGGCATATTTTACCATCAGCTGTAACTAATTTTATTTATATCTAAAAGAAATATTTTTTCAACTGCATTTAGTCAATGCATTATTAGTGGGTGCTGAAAAGTTCTTGGCCCGGCCAAAATGCTCTTCAAAAAAAAAATAAAAATAAAATAAAATAAATAAAAAAAAAAAAAACAATGTTTGGTCATTTTGTTAGAGTTTTGGAAGTGGGTCGAGCTAACAACTTTTCAGCACCCCCTTGTATAATTCTAAATAAGAAATAGGACAGATTGAAAATAACCTACTGTGCATGGATGTGTATATTCAATAGACTTTTATCTAAGAGATAGCTGCATCTCATTTCTAAAATGTCAGTGCCAGCCAATAAAAAATTGCTTGATTTGTACAAGTGAATAATTGTAACCTCGGAAAAAGTTACAACTTTTAAAAAGTCATTCTTAATGCTTAAAAAAATAAAAAATAAAAAAATAAAAATAAATTGTTTTTTTTTTCCAAGTGAAAGAAAAGGGAACAAACAAAAAAAGAAAAAAGAGAGAAATTACTTGCTTCTTGTGGCCAAATCATCAGTTCATTTTCTTTATGAAATAGATTACTTTGTTCAGCCTTGTTCTAGATAGATACAACAGGTTGACATTTTGGAGAGACAGCTCTTGTATGCCATTTTTATTAGATAAAAGAAAGCAAATAGAACTATGAAGAGTATTGTTTGAAGACAACTTTAGTAGACCATGAATAATCTATACAGATATCAATATAAATAATTTTAAATGAAAATGGGCATGAGTGTGTGTACACATCACATGCACCACCACCAAAATTGCCACAGATGTAAAATTAACACCAAAAGATTGAAAGCTTTCTTGAAATTATTAATTTAAAGTAATGAAAAATGAATTATCAAGAATTAAGTGAATTGACTTACCCGTGATTTGCACATAAGCATCACTTTGTCAAACAGAAAAATGTACCTGAAGAAGGGAAAAATTAGATATAAATAGAATAGAATGCTCAATTAGCATTGTGACATTTTGTTAATAATTCTGACAGTACAAATGTAAAATATTTTACAAGAGCTCAAAGAGCTTATAGTTCATCTCTAAGTGACAGAGGCAGAATTAATTTTCGACAAATTCAAAGATAAAGTAAACTAATTTGAAAAATAAAACTTGAAATTACAATTCTAATATAGATAGAAAATATTTGATTAATATTTTGTTTTTATCAGTTTATTTGAGAATCAGTTCACTTTTGTAGCTGTGTCAACATATTTGTCAACTATTAGATTGATACAAAAGTTTCTTGCATTTTTTGACAAACTTGTTTATTCAAATAAATCCATAGAATCATCATTCAGTCATCAAAGTATTTTTTGTCTTTCTATAAACTTATACCACTTTTCAGTTAAATTGCATATGGCATCATAAAAAGAGGATTCTGGTTTTGATAAATCATTTAATGAAATGTTGAAATTGTTGGGACCACTGACAACATAAATGTTGCCTGGAATAAAACAAGTGATGATAACAAATCTACAGAATATAACACATATAAAATAATTTCCTATCCCAGTTCTGTGATCATTTGCTGCATCACATTTACAACATGAGTAAAAGCATTGTCATGCAGTAAAATCACCAGTCAATTTGCTAGCTCAGAAAAATGAACACACCACCACTTCCAATGTATCATTCAAACATGCCAATTGCTCAATGTAGCATTACACAATAGTAGTTTATCCAACAATTCATAACTAGGAATTCTTTTTGAATCATACCAAAAACAGAAAAACCCTTTCTCCAGTAATTTCCATTAATGGGATGTTAAAGGCTGTGATAGATCTAGCCATGATTTTCTTAATTTGGGATTCTTGTTATAAATTAATTTTTATTGCCAGTAACTATGATATCCAAAATTGATATTTTTCTGTATTGTAAAAGGAGAAAAAGACGTGTTTAAACACTGACCAATATATGTTTCTATAAGTTCATGTGGAACCTATTTCCTTAGCTTCAGAATTTCCATAATGCTTGTAATTAATTCGAACTGATTGTGCACGTAATAAAAAGTAAACTTTAAAGACACTTAAGATTTCTCTAATGTTCTGAATAAGATTAGGCAGGTAACTTTTGCATCAACCTAATAAGAAATAATATATTAGTATAACAATTAAAAAATATTTACAATATTTATAATAATTGCATGATTTCGTTATATAAATGTACAAATGATGAAATGGTTATTTTAAACAAACTATTTAGCTTAAGAATTCTCATGAGGATAAACTTTCTCTGGCATCAAAACAAAAATGTATATAAATATAACAAAGATCACTAATTTAAACTGTATCTTTATTTATCAACATCAAAAGGCACATATTTTGTATGCACAATGATTAGACAAAATCTTAATCATTTTAGAATTATAAAATAAATTTCTTTAAGCCTAAATGTTATCCATGTAACTGAAAATAAATGTCTATGTTTGAAGATATTTTACAAAGTTGCTTGAGATGAGGTTCTGATGTTAGAAAAATTTTTTTTAAATTTTAATTACCTTGGGCGTACCCTAGTGTCAGAATGGCAACGGACCTTCAAGTCTCCATCTTTCTGTAGTCGGCCATAATCCTTTAAGGAGGTATTCTGAGGCTGCAAAGATAAATGATATATACAAACCACTTCAAATAAAGAAAACTAGTAAAGTTCCATTAAGTAGTAACAGGCCATAGACATTCTTTAAGGAGATTACTAACTTCACATCAGATAAATCCCACCTAGCAGTAGAAATAAACAGCAATATATATCAGTTATGCCCCAAGTTAGGTAGATTGGGTGCCTTAGCATGGAGAATGATTAACAATTTCTAGGCAGGTTGACAGCTACAATTGTGCAGTGAGTTTAATCCTCAGTGGGTGTCTTATAATTATGACCTCATGAAATTACAATGTCATCATCTAGAAGCTAAAACATTTTTAAAGAGATAATATACTGTTAAAACTAGAAAAGTAATAGGAATCAGTTTTTTTATGGAAAGCATTTTGAGCAAAAATTATTTCTAAGATAAATCATATTGTAGAGGTCTTTAAAATATTTTATTTGTAAATTATTATATTTGCTCCTACAAACAGGTAATTTTCATAATTATAGAGAAAAATAAATGCTTCTGCATTAATAATTATGCAAAAGAACATTCTGTAACATATATTTTTGTTCCTCTATAATGCTTAAAATTTTTTTTAAAACTAGATTCTTTCATATAGAAATTATCATTTAAATTACTTATATTTTAAGTAAATAATTAAAAATGTATTAATATTGCTTTAGTTGGTCTGCATATACCTTTCCATGTTGATAGACCACAACAAAGTGCCATAAAATTTACAATATGTATTCAAGGTTACAAAAATAAAAAAAATCAGTTTTGCTGCTGGGATGACAATTTAGATGCTATGTATTCATTTAAAGTATGGAAAATAACTAAGTTAAGAGCCAAGCAGGATGTACTAATGAAAAGTAAACTCAAAATTAAACAATTATGCTAAGTATGCAACATACAGTCAAAAAGGAAAACAGTAAAATATTCACACAGAAAAGCAAAAGAGAGTTGTTAGTATTAGCAAAGATCCTATAAGGATGGTTGTGTGAAGAAATTTAAACCATAGCAGAAGTTTCTATTTCAGTCAGTGTATTCTTTCTGCTTCAGTACAAAATTAAAAAAACTATATAAAATGACATATTTATGGAGAATTAAAATAAAAATTCTTCATATAAAAAAATAAAACAATTTTCCTCAAAATACTTTAGTTAAATATTCAACTGATTCTCAAAGCTCTCTGAAACACACACAAAGATTTTTCTCACATAATTTGCTTAAATAATTGATATTTGTCAAAGCAAGGAGAGAGAGGAAAATGTGTTCATGTCATTAAGTGAACAGAATAGCACAAATCCATGCATAGCAAAATCAATTGCTTTTTCAGAGCTTAACTTAAGAGAATTTCTGAAAGATCAAAGAACTCCAGCTAGGCTCTTCAGCTGATGCACATTGTTGCTTTAGATAACTGGAAATCAATGATTTAAACTTCATCATTGGGATTGCCCAAGCATATTCAGATATCTGCTTCTGAAGAACACCAGCAAATTTAATTAATGAGGATCTTTAATTAACTTACCCAACTCAGAAATTATGTTCTCCATGATTCTAATGATCAGCAATATGATTCAGAACGTGGAGGATTCTTAGAAGTGATTGACATAGAAGTGTAGTCAATTTCTACTTTGTGATATAATATTTTTAAAAAAAAATTGAAAAAAAATTGAAAAAAATGATAATTTAAAAATCATTTTCAATTTGAACTGAATAATCCCCAAAGCCAACTACTACAACATATATTCAAGAAATTGATATTTACATGTTATATGGAAGTAAGCATTTTCTCAGCACTGACTCAGATTTTTTTTTTCAAAATTAAGTATAATAAATTAGTGAATTATTGTTTACATAAAGTAAAACTATTCTTTTATCATCTTTCTTAAAAGCTGATGAATAGACTGGTGCCAATAAATTATCTTGTCATATTTAACTAAAGTAATAAAACTTTTACTATCAAAAGTCTCAGATATCAGAGAAAAAAAACAAGCTGACAAACTGCAAAAATGATTACTAAATCAATTTATTATGGTTCAAACAAAAGCTTCATTACTTTCAGAAGTTAAAAAATTTAATAAAAATCTCTTAAATTTTATTTTCATGTCGTTTAAACTGTTCCTGATATTTAGCTAATTTCTTTATCATAATCATTCTATTTCTTACACAAAAATTGAAAAGTATTACTTTTTAATTTAAAAATAGGTACATTTTAAATATTTTAATGTCTTAATGTTGCTTTGCAAAAAAATAAAATTATTTAGCATCCAATTAAAGTCAAAAAGCCTGGAAGAAATGTTCCCAATTAAATCCTCATTAATCTTTTAAGTATAATTATTTGCAAAGAAAGAAAATGCTTTATATATTTCTGAAGTTAAAAATTGAGTTTAAAAGTTTGTTCTTAATCAAATTAAAAAAAAAAAACCAGGAAATAATCACTCACAAAATATCTAATCTATAAACAGAAACACAAAGTAAAATTATTTGTATAACTTTCAAAGGTAGATAATGCCCACCAATGGTCTGTGTTTATATATCGTATTACTCTATAAGTTTTAATATGGAAGTTTATACTCTAATAGAAATATATTGATCAAAGTATAAGTTCTAGATTATAAATAATAAATTTAAACAACTTATAATTTAACAGAAACTTTTCTTTAAAAACTAAAACCTGAAAAGGAAAATATAGAAAGCATTAGTCAATTTCAAAGTATAATCAGAGATATTTCTTTATGAATCCGGTGTTGGAACAAATATATTAAATTGTTAATCAGGGCTATTCATTCAACAAATTTATTTAAAAAAGAAAATCACTACATTTATATAAACAAAAAAAAATCACAAATTTAGCACTTTGTTTGAAGTAAGGACACATTAATATATTTAAACGGTTTAAACTTAACAGTAACAAATATAATAGTATTAATAACAAAATAGAAACACTTACCATCTGTAAGTCAACAATACTGAAACAGACAAAAAAATAGATTTTGAAAAGGAATTGATGCTATAATGAATTGTTTGTAAAAGTAAATACTTTAAAACAAACTTCATAATAAAATAATAACTCTAAAAAGTGAGAAAATAAAATGGGAAGAACTACATGTTCAATATATACTAAAACAGTAGATTAATAGTAGCAAGGTTTCACATTCTGAAAATGTTTATGGTAAATGCATAAGAAAAGGAGATCATAGACTCAATGTTTTTTAACATGTTGGCTCCCACACGACCCACTAGATGGCCATGCTGGTATGTCTGCAAGCCTCACACAACCCTCTGGTGGGTTGTTTTTCAATTTCTTTTCTATGAAGATTATTGGGAGCGGGATGCTATGATTGATTGCTTATGGTACACCAGGACCACATCCCCCACCAAAAAATTTTTTTAAATTTTTTAATATAGAAAATAAGAGTTAGTATCAATGTAATACTTGTTGTATATTAGGTGGGTTGGGTTTTACTTTGGGTTGTGAAATGGACTCAGGTACTGAATGACACACTGGTGGGTCATGGGTAATAAATACTACCTATGATATCCTTGCCTCAAATATGAAATAATGTTAAAACAAAGTAACTTGTACCAGAATTAATTAAAATATAGTGTTGGCACTCTGGGGCAACAAGGAGAATAAAGTTTGAGATCCAATGTGTTAATAATATATGTTGAGGTAATACTTTTATGAAAATACTGGAGAATTTATGATGAAATTGGTGTGACAAATGACTTGCCTTTTAGGGAAATATGTATTCGAGTGTGTGCAAATATAAACATAATATATATATATATATATATATATATATATATATATATATAACTGAACATTAAAGTATGAGATTATTAGCTGTGAAATTTACACTCCAATTCCCAGAGCTGTATAAGTAAAGCTCTTTAAGTGCAACATATGTATGAGAAAGTAACTAACTAAAATAAGGACATTCTATAATTAAGGGTAACAGACACAGGTAATAAAATTGAACTAATTTGCACAGAATTATGAGAATTTCTGTGCCCAATAGAAAGTAAAACATTTAAGACAAACTTGATCTTTATGAATCCATACAGCTCACAAAACAAAGTCTCTAATGGCTGATGAGGTGAAGGGAGTTTGAATCCAATCTCATATGTTTCTGTTACAAAACTAAAAAATATTTTCACAATTCTTGTCACCCATCTGACAATCTGATGAGCTGTGTTTTCATAATGCATTTCCTCTCAATAAGTCAGTCCATCTAACCTACTTGCAATATGTTGTCTGAATTAATAGTAACAATGAAGAATGAAGGTTTCCTTTTCCTAAGCTCATTGATATTAGCACTAATCTTCCCAGCTGTCAGTATTCACTCATTTTAGGAATTATTATTCTAAAAAATATAAATGATAAATAAAAAATGTAACTAAAATTTTATAATATCCACTAATCACTATCATTTATGAATATCATAGATAGGAAATAGATTTTACAACTAAATCACATCCTAATGTTAGATATTCTATAAAAGTAATATTCCATGAATTAATGACATTCCAAATGGACAGTTTTAATATTTTCAGTGCATGAATTCAATGATCATTAATATAGATCAAAGAGAAATGAAAATAAAATTCAAGTCACAAAATATTGGTTATTGGATGATAAATGAGCAAAGAGGAAACAGCAAGTTGGTGTAAGAGTAGAAGAAACAAAATAAGATAGCAACAGTATCTTGTGTCCTAAGCAGACAAATCAAATGCTATTGATTTGCTTTACAAGGCTGGTCATTCACCTGCATATCTTGTTCCATTTTCTAACCAATAGTTTTTAGAACACAATTATTTTATGCCAACAAATTATTTGTAATATTTTATCATGAAAACAAGCAAACTAAAAAACAAAAGTCACACTTCATAAATAAATGTTTACATAGAAATGTGTGTTTAAATGTTTAGACAAAAAAGTTTATAACGGCAGATCCCATTTACAAGATAATTGGTTCGTCATTACTCAACTTTACCACTCATATCATGTTTATTTTACATTTGGGGAGGTCTACTGAGTCAAATGAATCCAGTCACAAGATAATTTTTAGGGTTACAAGTTTTGACATTAATTATTTTCTATTTAGCAGTACTATATTGTAGATTTCACTTGCTTGTAAAATCCATAGTAGTAATCACATGGCAAACATCTTTTATAAATGATTTCCTTACTTTTTATGAGATTATACTTCACTGATAAAAAGATGGAAGTTACATATCTTGTAATTGATGTATATGTTTATCATCTATTTCATTTGCTTCTCTAGTTATGATTTCATAAATCAAGTGCTGTGAACTTGAATCTTATTGGAGATGCTGTACACTACTGAGCCATTTTATCGATTATCAAAAAATATTTACTTAGATTTCAATTAAAGATTTATTGTATGAAAAAACAATGTATTTTTCAGTTATATTTTCTCAATGCACTCTATATAACACTAGCTCCATTCTAAAAGAGATATCATCATCTATGTAACATGCCCCTTCATACAACTTCATGTTCTTTGTAGTTCTTAGCAAGGACTGTCTTTTTGCTATCTCTCCTAATCCCTGTTCTGACAACCATTTACACAAGTGCATGAGGTAGGTTACTTACTGCTTTCATGACCCTCTAGTCTTTAATATGCCCTGTGAGTGTCAAATTCTCTAAGCCCTCTTGAAATTTCAACTACACTCTTTTCAATTTTTGTGCATTTACTGAATTAATTTTCTATCTATATGCAAGCTGCTTGCTCCAAGTATAATTTCTGGATTATTCTAATATCTTTTTCCCAAATAAGCTTACATAGCAGTTCAAAATGTACTTTGTGTCATACTTTATCAAACACTTTTGTATAATCAATAAAAAAGGTATACATCCTTTTGCATTTGTATTGTTCTTTCTGACATCATTCTGAGTATAAATATCACATTTCTTGTTCCAGTATTTTTAATGAAACTGCACAGTTCTCATCTTATTTCCAGTCTAATTCTACTACATGTTCTAGTCAAGTCATCAGAATTCAGATAAGTTTTGTTATGTGGATCATTAATCTGATTATCTAATGGAGCTTGCATTCATTTGCACATGACTTCTTAGGCAGCACTATGAAAATGGATCTCCTAAGGTTTTCTAGTATATCCCCACTGTTATTTATTATTTCTGTAATTTTATCAGTGCCAAAATCGTCTACGGCTGCCATCCATAACAATCTCATCTGATCCTGCTGCTTTGTTCCTGTTCAACTTGGTGAGTGTTAATTTCACTTCGGGCTTTTCTATATTTTCTGCTCTTTCTATATTTTTGTGTATTGCAGAAGAGTTCTCCAATATTTGTTCTATCTCTGAAATATCTTTCTTTTTCTATTATCAGCGTTTTCCCATTTGATTTTGATACATTTTTTATATCCTGAAAATATTAAGCTGAATCAATTGTCTTGTTTCTGAAACTCTTAAATGATGTTAAAAAAGTTATTTTCTTAAATTTTTATTTTTAGAGGACTAATTCCTTCAATTAAAACTATTCCAGTTAAAAGAAAACAAGAGAGGGGATACATATTTTTTAAATTGCTAATTCATTGCTTGGAGTATATCTTCTAGAAATTAAAAAAATATTTCCATGATAATATATATCTTATAAAAAGACAACTTGCTTCTTTAGAAGCAAACACTCAATTTCTTTTCATTTTAAATACACAAATACTTACAAAAATAAACAGTAATTATTTTTACAAGGAGAATTTGTAAAATGTGTTTACTCAAATATTAATACCAACTTAATTTCAACTGAACCAAAATTACTTTAGAATTAGCCAAATGAAAAGAAAGTCTGACATTAGATATCATTAATGAAAAACTGGCTCTGAAGATCTGCTTTCATAAATATAAATTATCTATCCAAGAAAAAAATCAATTTATATTCATTCAGTTCTCTTGTTTCTTTAAATTTAACTATACATTGTTGTTTCTTCAGATTTAATAGCAATTACATTTATTCATATAATTATAAATTACCTGTTTTGGATTTCTTCAATGAGTTCAACAGCTTCATTATCTCTCTTCACTTCATTCACATAGAGTGATAAGTCCTAAAAAGCAAAATTATACTTTAACAAAATGAAAGTCAACAAATTTTAATTGCCAATACTTCAATTATATGACATTGACAAATTAAAATAATTTGTTTTAGAAATGTTTAAACAATCTTTTTTTGATGGAAACATCTATACAATTACAAAATTAGTGTTAATACAATTTGCTACAACTATAAAAAAAAATTCCTTTTAACCTATGATTATGGTAGGAGTAAGCAACTTTTCAACAAAGACCTTTCAGATCATGGCTCTCTCCAACTTCCTTGTTTTTGTTGCTCTAAGTAATTTTTGGCTCTTAAGTATTCCTGTGTCCTTGTTATTCACAGTCACTAAGTAGGTTACTTCTTGTTTCTTCCTACTTCTTTGACTGAAATAGATTAAAGTGCTTGCTTTCATCCAGTCCTCCAGTCTACCAACTGAGCTGTTGCTAGTGACCTCCTATTTCTCTTGTTCTCATTAGTATGTACGCTGTCATGCCAACAATGCGTTCTGGTCTGTTCTCTCTCGTCTTTATTTATGCCTGCATTGGGAGCAACTAACATTTGCATACGAGACTTACTTCCTGTTCGCCCGAGACTTCCGATCTTATAAATTTATGCTGGCTTGAATTTTTAGTCTTTTTTAGTTTTACTTTTTCATTGTACACCTGCCCGCGATATAAGAGTTTCAGAATAATTCATTTTTGCTTTTAACACCGATTGTGATCTTTCAACAAGACCTGACACACCATGCAAATTCGCTTTGTGAGAGGTAAGTCTTCTCATTCATCACACTACCCCCCTGATCTCATGATCACATAGATGACAGGGTAGGGGAGAATGCCTTCGATGAACACTCCTTTGCAGAGGTGGAGGGGATGCTTCAGGTGGCAGTACTGCCACATCTATGTTATGCGGGTCCTTGGCATTTTCAGTGTCATTACGACCTTCCTCGTCGTCTGAATCTGTACTCTCTGATACAGAGGGCAGACCATCTGACTGCATTGTGCAAAACATTGTTGTCTCCAAATCACTATCAGATGACATATCTTTGCTGTGATGCTCTTCTGAGGCACTTAACTTGTGTTGTGGGCAAAGGTTTTTTACATGGTGTGGCACACCATTGACCCGGACTGTTTGGGAGCTAATAACTCCATCAACTTGTCCTCTATTAAATCTACTGGTACAACGTCCATTTGGGGGCTTGACCTATACGAGATCACCAATTTTATATGGTTCTTTGGTATTCTTCAGAATGTTTGGCATTACTTGATCTATCCCCTTTATCCGCTGTCTGCCTGTATATATTCCGTTGGCCGGCACAGTTGATGGTGTTACATCATCTTTGGGCATGATTTTGTACAGCTTCTTGAATGGAGCACTGTGTTCTCACTGCTATCCTTTTAATGCTGTGGTGACACTGCTCCACTATCCCGTTACCCTCTGGAGTGTATGCGCCTCTGTACCTTACTCGTACTCCCCATTCGACCGTGAAGCTCTGAAAATCTTCACTACAAAAGGTTGGGGCGTTGTCTGTCAATATTTCAACAGGGGGACCACGTTCATAGAAGATAGCTCGTAATTGTTGTATAATCGATAATGCATCTTGTCACGCTAGTGGGCATCATACAATGAAACATGTCGGGCTGCAATCTGTCAAAGTTAGAAAATGATTGCCATTGTGACGTGTCATGTCCATGCCCAGTTGCCACCAGATTTTGTCTACCCTGAGCTTGCCCTTGTTCCACAGTACTGGGGCAGGGTCCACCGCACAGCATTCCTTGCAACCTTGTATGGCTGACCTAACCATCGCTTTTGTCACTGTAGGACATACTTTCTGGACGAAGTTGAACGTCGAACGCCAGGATGACCGCTCTTGCTATGTATGACACGGATTTGTTTGATGGTCAGCTGGCTCATAACAGCTGCGCACGTCGGTGGCTCTGATCCCTGTTTCAACACATCAAGCCATCTTTTTGGTATTCTAGTCAACTTATTGGCCAGGTTCCTCTGTGACATAGTCAGTGTGATGTCAACTATCAAACTGTATCCTTTGATTAGCTGCTGTAGTTTAGCCACTCTCCTGCACACTAGCATCTCTCTCACAGCTTTTGTCCTCACTCGGCTCTTGCCTGTCAGAATATTCTGCAGCCATTGGTACATGCATACCAAGTCCATGTATAGGTGTAGCACCCTTGCCCACCACTGTAATGCCAGATTTATACCTTTCACCGTGGCATCCAATTCGGCCAGGTTTATATGTTGTGCATCATTTCTTGGTTGAAGCCAGCACGCATCTTCTAGTATAACTCCCCAATTTTCCAGCACTACACCCATTGCCAAGGAGCTTGCATCAACCCATGTGTTGACTTCTCCAGTCATGCACCAATCTCCTTGAATGGGGTTGTCATGGTGCACTCTAGTCAGTGTCTCAATGATCATCTGCGTAAGAGGGGCGTCTTTTATAGTGTCATTCCACCCATTATCATGCTTGCTCGTCTTTTTATCATTCCCGTGGCTGCACAGAGCCACCCGCATATGGGAAAGTGCCCCACTAACTCCCCACATACAGAAAATACTCAACTTCGTGTTAGTGTAGCGGGAAGTTCCGGAACTGAGCTCCCTCGCTTCTACTGCAATGTGTTATGCCCCCCCCCCCGACTTTAAGCCCAAGCACATCGACCCCATCCTTTAATTGAATAGTGTCTCTGTTAGACAAGCCGAAAGATTCTAATCTGCGCCTGACTTCATTCGCTGAAAGTATGTCCTTATTTACATATATATCGTCGACATGCCGACGCAGCTCTTTTCATCAGCTCATCCTGATCTAGCACTGTCTTAATGATTGATTTCATAATTAGGGGAACCACATTAAGACCAAACCCCAGATGCATCAAGCAGTCCCTCTTTCTTTTGACGATAACTGTTTGGAAAGGCCATAACGTCACATGGATTCGTATTTGAAGATACGCTTTTCGCAGGTCAAGCAGTGCCACTTTAGCTCCTTGATGCCGCCATTCCCTCATTCATTTGGCACACATGTCTGCATCCACCATAAAGGCATCTATGTATTGATTTATCTCCCTATAGTCCATCACTGGCCGTACCTTAGCCTTGGTGGCCTGTGCAATGGCTATTAAGGAAATTAATCCTCTTGGGGGCCCCCAATCGGTCTTGCAGATATAGTATCAGTCAGCCATTCGCGATCCACATCTCCAGTTCGCTCTCATAGGCAGCTTTGTTCTTATTCGACACCGTATATTTCACAACAGTGTTGTGTAATTGATCTGGTGCTTTATTTCCTGTCCACTTCCATTCCACTATCTAACTCTTTGTTTCTTGGTCATACATGATACAGAAATCGCATTCCTCAATTGTAATGGCAGCACATGAGTCAAAACTTCTCCCGAGCTGCACTTCACCAGTACGCATGACCATAACACCACCTAGTTTACATATGGCATCAATTCCGATCAGCAAATCAGAATCAGAGTCTTGTCACAAACCACCAGTGCATCCACCTCGGTACAATCACCTCCATCTGTTAGGATTGAAATCACTCCAACTCCGCAGCATGCATGGGAGGTCCCATCAATAGTCCTAAACATCACATGTCACTCCTTCCAGATCAAACAGTGGTTTGCACTGATTATTGAACGGGAACATCCCATGTCAATGAGAGCCAAACGTTGCATGCCATTCACACATACCCTGACTATGGGCAAATCCGTACTTACTGATTACAAGGGTGGCGACAGTTCCTTGCTCCCAAGCTCATTTTCCCGGACAGTTCCGCGCTAGATGGCCCAGATTGTTACAGCGGTAGCAACATGTTTTGCTACGATTCCCACTCCCCGTATTACTTCGACTCCTGCACTCTCGGGAGAAGTGGTTGGGACCACCACATTTGTAGCATTTGGGGCCCTTCTGAGTCATGGGGACGCGACAGTCACTGGCAGCATTCTCCTCCGATTTACACACGGCCTCCTCTGTCTGTACAGCTGCTGCGACGTGCTCTGACTCCTTCACAATGGTTCGGGCTCTAGTCAGTAGCTGGTCGATACCCATCTCCCCAAGCTTTGATGATGCTCGCAGGAGCCGGCTGACATCAATGGGTAGACCTTCCAAAAGTGCACACGCCAGTATCCGGTCGTTAACACCCCCGAATGGTACCAATAACTTTCTTAGATTGGCCAGGTACACATCAATTGTCCCCACGGGGAGGAGTCACTGCCCATTGAATTGCCTCCAAGCAATGGACTCATCCATGCCAAATGCTGTGTAAAGGGCAAACTTGATTTCATCCAAGTTCACTTCATCGCTGAGTTGCTGGTAGACTGCATAAGCGCCTCCTGTTAGCCTCAACGGAATGAATAATGCAGGTTCCTTGATTTTGAACAGTTTGCAAACATGCTCTGCCTTCTCAAACCACTCAACAATAGATGAACCAGTGGGGGAGCCATCAAATTCCAGTATTAATTTCAAATCTAACTGATCCATAATTGTCAAAGTACTGCCGAAATAGCTTGTGGGTAATTCAGTTTGCCCATCGTTTGCGATGACTGAAATAGATTAAAGTGCTTGCTTTCATCCAGTCCTCCAGTCTACCAACTGAGCTGTTGCTAGTGACCTCCTATTTCTCTTGTTCCCGTTAGTATGTACGCTGTCATGCCAACAATGTGTTCTGGTCTGTTCTCTCTCGTCTTTATTTATGCCCGCGTTGGGGGCAACTAACATTTGCATACGAGACTTACTTCTCATTCACCCAAGACTTCCGATCTTATAAATTTACGCTGGCTTGAACGAATAATTCATTTTCGCTTTTAACGCCAGTCGCGATCTTTCAACAAGACCTGACACACCATGCAAATTTGCTTTGTGGGTGGTAAGTCTTCTTGTTCCTCACAAGATCCCCAAAACATAACTCGTATCTTGGGCTGTCTCTCTTGCTGACAACCATACATTGTTAATAGTCCTTTCGTCTTGTTTTTCTTTACTATCTTGTCTAAGAATTCTTTCAGTTTTCTTCTTGAATCTACCATCAACACTACCATTCATGTATTTTAATGTTGTTAAGATTATGTTTGCCAATCATAAATCTTGATAGGTCTTCGAGTTCTCTTAGGAACATCTCGTATGTTGAATAAATCTGGTGTGAAAATGCTCATTTGTCTTATTCCTATTTTTTTGTACCAAATAAACTTTCTGTTGAGAATTATTCATTTTACTAGAGACATTAATTTTGATTTGTATTTACATTAGAAAAAATATATCAAGAATGCATAATGCTACAAAACAAGTCCACAGTTTATTTTTGTTTTTAATTTATTCAAACAACATAATATAAAAAAGTTAGACTCTAATAAACTAATTTACTTGTAAAGTGGCCAGATGATTATTTTTTTTCCCTCAGTGATGCTAATTTTTACTAAATGACAAATTTACACATTATTAATCTATATTAACTTCTATAGTTTTATTTTTTATGTATTATATTATGCACTTATTTTAATGACACACTAAGAATCAGACTGACAAATTGGCTGTAAGTAGGGAAATGAAACAGAACTGTGAACCAGGAGAGAGATTTTCAAAGATGGACAAATAACAATAATCTGTTTAGGCAACATGGTCAAAGTGAGAGTTGAAAATAAAACAGATCAATGTTATTTTTCAGAATGCAAAATGATGCAAAAGTTATTGAAATTTTTAATATTCAATAAAATTTGAATATATATATATATATGAGAAAGAGAGAGAAAGATTTAAGGTAGTGTATGTACCTGCATAGCTTCAAGGGCTACTTCTAAATTTTTCCGGTCCTCATCAGTTTTCTCTGTCTGTTTGATTAATTCCTGCAATTTAAAAGTAAAAGATTGTGAAAAAAAATACGTGGAAGTAGGAGGAAGAACTAAGCTTCCAGAGAAAACATCACAAATCTTTCATTTGAAGTTATATCTCAATTCATCACATAATGCCATACCAGTTGCAACACTGTGTTAACTAGTAGAAAAAAATGATTAAGACCCCATAATTTTTTTTTATTAGTAAATAATTTTTTTTAAAAAGTCATTAAGAATCTTTCTGAATAAATTTCATCCAGCAGTATTCTTACATTGTAAGAAATACCTACTTAAACAGCTTTTAATAATTACGACATAAGAATAGATTCACTTCATTCCATTGTCAATTCTGATGCAGATTTGACTAGAAAACAATAGCATTAAATAATGAAAATTCTGAATTACTCAAACATTAGATGGCAGGCCATTAAGTTTACACATGAAAATGTCCGAGATATAAAAATATTTATCTGTGACAAACCTAAAAGAAAAACTTGGGGTCAAACCAATACAAAATAATTTCTAATGTCTTGAAAGTTACCTGCCCAAAAACAGATAAACCTTAACATTATGTCTAAAAATATGACTTTTATATATTTGTCTAAAAATATTTTTGTTTAACTCATATATAAATATTGTTTTATAAAAGTTATTTTGTATGTAGGTGTTGATAAATAACAAACAAAATTATCCACCAATGAATTTCAATGAATTGAATTAAATGACTAATTAACACCTTTTCATATATTCAAAATCACTGAAATAGTAATAAATTTAACCAAAGCTTATATTTTAAAAATCTTTTCAGGCATATATAGTCAATTCTAGAATTTTTTGTTTTCGATAAAATGCATAAAATAAAAAAAAAAATTCTGTATTTTCTTCATAAAAATATATTTTGGATTCTACTTTTTCCAAACAGTTTGTCTAGGAATATTCTCAGACCAAGGGTGAACATCTATGCAGATGATGCTACTGTTTATGAACACAGACACTTCTAAAAACCAAGATCGTCTGAACCTTGCAGTCAATCACTCCTCTGTCTTAGTTCTAATACCTCAATGGGGAAATAACTACCTTACAAAGCAAGCTATTATCGTTTCATAACCACCATTCAGAACCAAAGTTTCTCCCAGTAATGAACACTGGTACTCTCAATGAGGCTCCATGCTTTGAACATCTACTGCATCCCAAGTTCCCTCCAGACATCAATTGGAACTCATATACCAGGTACAGCATATACCCATTATTCCTTTCATCATAAAATAAAAAGTTTTAGGTTTTGGTTAATGAAAGTTTACAGGTTGATGGCTAATTAACACCATTGACAATATTTTACATATATTTACAATTCGAAATGGCCACCATTTGCTTTCAACATAGCCTTTAATCTCTTCTCAACTGAAGTGTATAACTTCTTCACTCTCTATTCACTCAAATATTACAATGAAGTCATAAGAGCTTCTTTCAAGTCTGGCACACTTGAGTATAAGATACATGAAATATTGCTGCCCAATAGGTGTCTTATCAAAAAATCCATAGGATTAATGTTTGAGCATGATGGAGGCTAAATTAACTTAATTGCATGGAAATGTCTCTTGCACCAGTTCTGCATCAAATTGGTCATGTATGCAGAATCTCCATCTTGAGTGAAGACAATGACTTTCAAATGTGGTTGACAACCGGGGCAGCACATCGCTCCAACATTTGCTGGTAAACTTTGTTATTCACTTTCAGTTCTTTTTCAATGAACAGTAAGGAGGATCTCGAATTATCAGAAACAACAGCAGCCTAAACCATGGCACGAGTTGGCTTCTGTCACTTGAAATGCATTCCAACACTTTCAGAAATGTTTCCTGGTGAAGTGGCATAAACCTCAGCATTTTGTTAGTTGACTACAGCTTACACAGTGAAAAACTTCTCATCTGACCAAATGAAGATTTTGTCTGTGGCACACTGAACTCTTCCAACATTTTCTTCTGCCGGCCAAACCATTTTTGCTTGGAAGCATTTGAGATCACCTGTCATCGTGGAATCTTGTATTGTTTTAGTCTTAAATCTTCATTCACAAACCTAATTAGCTATCTGCAATATCCAGCTCCTTTGCCATCTTCCTCATCACCCTCCTTCTTGACAGCTTCAATGACTCTCCATGTACAAACTGAACAGTTTCTTTCTGGAATTGTATTTAGTGAGATTGTTTCTTCCACGTAAACTTTTTCCACACATTAAAAAGTTTTTCCTGCTTTATCACCTCACAGTTCTTTATAACAACCATTTTTATTGTGACAATTTGATAATGTTCTGTTTAAGCTACTATATTTAATTAAACTATAAGCAATAAAGTAAAAGAATGTTAAGTAGTCTCATGCAAAATTTGAAACTATTTTTATAAAATTTTCAGTTTATGTTTAAATATTAGGTAAATATTTATACTACACCCAATATATATATATTCCATTGCTAAAGCTGAAAAAATGGTCAGATCATTATATCACTCCAAGAAGTATCTATGTCTTCTGCCATTTTCTATCTTTACAAGAGTCAGATTAGCCAAAAAGAAATGAAGTTTTGCTGCAATATCTGGGCTGGAGTCACTTAATCATTACTTTCCAGCCTTGAGAGAGTTCAAAATCCATGACAGTCTTGTGGAGGATGACTTAATTTCTATTCTATAACTTCTTTCCCATAAAAGCAACATTGCAAACCTATCTCTAATCTATTGCTATTTCCATGGCAAATATTTAAAAGAGTTCCATTATTGCCACCAATTCAGACTTTTATTGTTAGGACATACCCTGCTACTTTCACAGAGTTGAATCATCCTTATTTCATCCATGTTCCAAATGTAAGAAGAAAGTTCCACTCAGACAGCTTTTTTTCTCAAGAGCTATTACAGTGTAACCCGGATATAAGAGAGATTTTCTCTGGTCCCAAATTAGAGCCTGTGTTAATGTATATAAATTAGACCCGGATATAAGAGAGATTTTCTCTGGTCCCAAATTAGAGCCTGTGTTAATGTATATAAATTAGACCCGGATATAAGAGAAACCCGGATATAAGAGAGATTTTCTCTGGTCCCAAATTAGAGCCTGTGTTAATGTATATAAATGAAACCCGGATATAAGAGAGATTTTCTCTGGTCCCGTCCTCCCCGATATAAGAGAGTTCGTTTTGAGTGACAGTGTGATGTCGTAAATCGGTCAAACAGAGGTCAGTTAGAGAGAGAGAGAAGTTCAATGACTTAATCTTCACTAGTCTAGAGACACGGTGTGTCCAATCTATGTCTGTAGGAGACACCCTCTACCTTATGATTTTGCTTTGTGTGTCTAAGGGTAGCGCTGCCCGCGTTTTTGCCGACTTTGCTTGTCGTTGCATTTACTGGACAGCACTTTCACTTTACCCACTGTCCTGTTGAGTCAGAAGTTTGTCTGTTTGTTAATTTTGCCACTGAAAACCGTTTGCTTGCGATCATTGCGATTAGTGATGTCGGCGTCTCAACGAAAAACTGAGCATTTCTGAACAGTTTTTGATTGAATTATTTTGAAAACTGATTGAAAATGTATTTTTGTCTGTGTTTTTTATGTCTATAACTGTTAAATAAACTAGTGTTCTGTATGTAAAAAGCGTTATATGAAGTGTTCCCATACTTACCTAAACAAAATAGACCAAACCCGGATATAAGAGAAACCCGGATATAAGAGACGACTTCTCCGGTCCTGACAACTCTCTTATATCCGGGTTGCACTGTACTTTGTGGAACAGACACCAACGTGGGTGCTTACCTGAATAGTAAAATCTTAACCTCTTCAAATCAAGGATCAATCATTATCTATCCTCCTTATCCTCATAATTCCAACTTCCTTTTCTTCCATTCATATCACAAACCTCATTCTTAATATTTCAACAGATACCCTATACCTTGAATGGTTTCTACAACTTGTATTGGATGATATTTAGTATTTAAAAAAGTTTTATATACCTTAAGTAAAAGATGGTATTTGAGAACACGCTGCATTGGTACAGAGAGAAGATCTCTGAGACGAAATTTTCCATCATTAGCTTTTGTTTGACATTCCTGGAAAAAAAAAAAAAATTTTTACTTTAAGCAATTAAATCCTACATATCAAACATTTCATTGAATATGTTTGAAGCTCTAATTCTTCACTGATAAAAAACATACTAAATTATAAATAGATAAAAAAATATAAACATCATCAAAACTTTTTAACAAGCAATAAATGTTCATAATATATCTATGCTGTATATTGTTATATTCACTTACCAAAAACCATGTGTATTTAAATCATTACATGTTTTTTTCTTTGTATTTATAGTTAGATTAAATTCTCCATTTATAATATGAAAAATTACTTTGTGAAAAGACTATTTTAGTAACAAACTGATTTTAAAATGAACTACAAACTTTGATCAATAACCTGAAGTTTGGGGATTATATACAAGTATTTCAAACAAAAATTTTAACTTTTATAGAATATACATTATATTAACACACATCTCGATAATGACATTTCCACTAATAATTGATTTACTCTGTTACACATGATATTTACAAATATGTCAATATGAATTTTTTTTTATTAAAAGATTAATAAAAAGTTCAGAAAAGATTTTTTTTTCATGTATATAAAATTTTATGCTGATATATATATATATATATATATATATATATATATATATATATGATTAGCAAGGTAAATTTTTAAAAGGTTTTTTATTACACACTAAGAAAACTTTATAGTCAAATAAATTGAAAATTATTTATTCTAGTCTTTTACTACAAAGTGTAGACTTTCAGTCTGTATGAAATGATTTTTCCCAGGGCCAGTGTATGTGTACATACATACATACATACATACATACACACACAAAGCATATTATCAAAACATAGGCAATGTGACTGACAGCTGATTCTGACCTAAGATCACAGCTAGCACCTGCGTTAGTAATGTCCGTGAGAATTTAGAATACTGTGAATATTAGTATTTTAGAGTGAATGTGAATAGAGTAATGTGAATAGAGTAATGTGAATAATTTTTGTACACAAATTTCAGGTCAAGGAATTATGAAGTTTCAGTATATAAAAGTGGAAAAAATAAGTGGATATATATCCTAGTGCTTCTTCATTACCATCAGTGAAAATCTATTTCTTTTGAAATTGCAAGTAAAAATTTTAATATTTAATTGAAAACATTTTTTCCATTTACTTTCAAATAGCAACACCTTTGACATATTTTTCCAAAACACCTCTCACCTTCATTTAGGAACTATTCAGAATTAGTAACAAGCAACAGAATTTATCTCCCAAAGATTAATTATGTGTATAATAGTCTATTCTTACAATGCATACATAAGCCATAAATATGAGAGCCTTTTTCTTAAGTCATGATGTTGAAAATTATTTAGACATTAATGAAACAAAAAAAAAATCAAATAAATGAAAATAATTGGACAGAAGTCTTTATTAATTAATAAAAAAATACTTTAAAGAAAATCTTTTAATTATGTATAAAAGCAAAATATCTACAACGATTTCATCAAAACACTGGACTTGCTTAAACATATTTCAATAATTACTTTTCTCTTAAATAATAATCTTTAACAAAACAGAAATGTAAATTAACATATAAGTTAGTAAAATTTGTACAATAATTTAATAGAAGGTGAAATTCAAATATAAAATCAATGTCAGTTGTAAATAAAATTAGTTCACTTTATACTAGTTTAAACATAACTGTTTATTATAAAATAATAAAATTATAAAATATAAAATTTTCAAACCAAAGCTCATCCACTGCTCTGAAAGGGTTAAGCTCAGTGGAATTATGTCCTCTTTACACCACCACAATATTTAGTCTTCATGATTATTCTTTAAGTAACTTATGTTAGAATACTTTAGAATATTATGTCTAACACAAAAGCACAATAATAATTGATATAATCAACACAATCATATTAAATATTAATACAATAGATCTACTCTGTGTGTGTGTGTGTGCATACATACATACAAAATGATACTTACTTCTATGGAATTTCGTACGTGGTCACTTCGTTTACATGCTTCATCTATGAGCTCTTGAGCCTGAGGTAAATTGGAGCAGAAGTCTCCATAAATAAGCAGTTTGGATTTGTACTTGATAAACACTTCACTGATCCGAGGAACTCCAGTGGAACAGGCTTTCAGTAACTCAGAATGGAACTCACGATGAACCTCATATAAAGGCTAAATTAAAAAAGAAAAAACGTTTATACATACATAAATATGAGATTTGGCAAGTGTTCAATTCTTGACTTTTTCTTCATTGACAATAATATACCATGTCAAGAGAATTATAAAACAGTTATTTTTTTACATTAAAACAATGCTCTAAATTATTTTTCTTTGTTTCTTTTTGGTAAAAACTTCTAAATGCTGGTGTGCAATAAATTACATCACAAAATATTCAAGCCAAGCTCAATAAAATTTAGTTAGGTCATAACTATCTGAACACTGCTAAATGAAAAATATCAAAATTAATGACTTTTTCATGGTTTCAGTTTTAATGTCATACTGTATCACATTATTTTATGCCTTAATGTGAATGAAAATCTAAACTAAAATGTATAGAAAAATCATTTTATAAAAATTATCCATGTTATTAACAAAGAAGAGTCAACTGCAGAATCATATAATACTATAGCAGCGTTACAAAAATTCAACAGCATGCTTACTTATAAACAAACAGAATACTACATGCATCTCAATGCACCATTTTGTTGATAAAGGAAATCTAAAATTAAGCAAGATTTTGTTCATACATTTTACTATCAATTTTTCTTAAAGTTCAAGGAAAATATTTCAAAGAATTTTACATAGTTAGGTTTAACAAATTCAAGATAGTTTTTGAGTTTGGATCAAACATTAAATCATTGAGAAGAGATTTTAAGACAAAACCAGTAAATAAGTAAATCTATTGTTATATCTTTTATCTAGTCATAATTTATATATATATACATACTTACTTCTATGTGTGCAAATATTATTTCCCTCTCTTGAGTAGTCAGGACATTTCGTAAAGGTTTACTGAAATGCTACAAAAGTTATAAAGATTGAGAGAAAATCACATATTTTTCATCTTTGGAATGAAGCAAGAAAGAATATTTTTCCAAATTTCAGATCATATAAACTTTTTAAACATAAAAAATAAAAGATTAGGAATGATTCACCTGTAAACTAAAAATGGAAACAATATTAAAAATGAAGGTAATGCTATTCAAGAAAGAAACAAAGTTAAAATTTGCATATATTACATACACTATATAATACTGTTAAATGCTATCAAAAATGTTTAACACATATTTAGAATATCAGGCAAAACATGAAATATAAAGAATCTGTACAAATTATACACAAGTTCACAAGAAAGTTATTCCATAACAATTTTACTGAAAGCCATTTTCCAATGGAGAGTTACCAATTCTCATTATAATTTCTTCCTACATTCCAACCAAAAAGTGTACTATGAAGTAAATTGAACTTGTCTATTTTCAGAAAAATGTGAGTATTGAGAAAAGGTAATAAAAATAGAAAAACATCAAAAATTAGAGATATTGTCAATTGTAGTATTTATATACAGACAATGAGTGGAGTAAAGATAATTACATTGATCATCATCTGTAGGGCTTCAACGTAATTCTTTTCAGTATCCACCAACTCCTTGACACAGTGGTCCCTTTTTGTAATGGGTGGAGGCATCCCTGTCTGTGATTAGGAAAAATTGTATTAATAAATGGAAAAGAACTTCAGGTAAATAGAATCATAAATGCAGAAATTGTAAATATAGTTTCTTAAAATAATGCTTCATTCAATAACAAGCTAAATACAATTTTAGATTGACAAAGTAACAATCATCACAGTTGGCAAAAAATGATTTTATATTAAACAATACTTTTCTTTGTTAATATCTTATATAGTCAAGAGAAAGAGAAATGTGAATACTTGATATTATTCCCATAAAGGAACTATCTACACAATAACATTAATATACTATTAATATGTCAATGTTACAGATCATAATATAACTAGTAAACATATCATTTAGCTTGCAATCATACTAGTACACATTTTGAAAAACAATTTTTTTTATAAATTATAATAAAATTGTCTTTATTAGAAGATGAATAATTTCATAAAACTACACAAAATATCTGTTGTACAAATCTCTTTTAAAGCATGCTGAATAAACAGTTATTACTGGTTACAGAAATTCAAAATCTTAATAGAACAGAAACACATTAAATTCATGAAATCATTCTGCCAGTATTTTCTATTCAACAAGTGATTTCAGTTTCAAAAAATATAAAAAAAATGTCATTGTAAATCAGCAATTGAGTCAATATTCTTTTAATTACACTATCTCTATCCCTTTATATGGTTGTCAATTCTGATGCCCTACTTAGAGATTGAACTGAGAATACTTGGAAAAGGCATACAATTTTTATTGGCTTATTAATAACTAATATACCAGTAAAATATTACAATAAAAATAAAACCAAACCTTTCTATTATTGTGATAACATACTAAGGAATTTTTTGGTATAGCATTTTAACTATTATAATAAACAATTAAAATGCCAAATGAATCAGTGACAAAACAAAAAGGTAAGGATAGGTATCTCTGTTGGATCGCTAAAAAAAAGAGCATAGCATGATTAAAAAGACGCCAAAGTTGATGAAAACAAAATTTTCAAGGCGTCTAAATGCTTATGTTACTTTTTAGAGGAAAGATCAAAGTATTTTTTTTACTTATTTTTTGAAATTTTTCCTTCTTTTTAGAACATTGTAAATTTTGATTAAAAGACCTTGTTTCTCTTTTTATCAGCATTGATAAATTAACGTATAAACATTTTAGCGTTTTTTTTCCCGTTTGACACACATTAATTTGGAAAATCTTGCAAAAAATGAAAATAATTGTCGGATTTTAATGAAATTTTCAGAAACTATTTACAAATGATGGAACTTATTATAAATACATTTTTTTTAGTAAAGTCATCTCAGAAATTTTTTTTTCCATATGTATTTACCGCTCTAACTAATTGTACGAAAACTCTATAATTTCAATTATGAGGAGTTTAGTGATTATATCAGTTAAAAGCACAATGCTTTGAGGAAACAAAATCATGTTTTTTTTTTTTTTAGTTGGAGCCCTTCTATCTGAAAATCGTCTCTGAAGTGTAACATACAAAAACTCAATAAAACAAAAATATTATTTAATTTCAAAAGCTTTTAATTGCTTTTTATTTATTCCAATAAACATGGACAATATTGTCTGAAAGCAAAAAAAGATATTTCGATGAAAAATGAATTTTTAAAACAATTACCTACAATTATTTTTTTATTTCTGCAACCATTGTTTTTATTTTTTACATTATGTTGTTAATTCTTCTAAAATTATGGAAAAGCCGTACAGCTTAACGGATGTTGTTTTTAAGTAGATAAATATTTACAGATTATAATTTCCAAAGCTTATTACAAACTAATGAGTCTTCGTATATTAAAAAAAATTAATTTGTCAATAATGTGTTTACCAATGAAATCTACGGAAGACCAGAAGTTTGGTACGTGCAATAAAAAATAACGTCACGTGGATTGAGTTTCTGTCTAGTAAGTGTTGTTCTTGGCTATATCGGCCCTTAATTTAGCAAACTGTTCCTGCTGAAACACGTGCATCATTTTCATTAAGTTAAAATAGGTACTTTCATCTAGTTTTCATCGTAGTCCTGTAATGTTTGGTTGAAATTGGTTGAAAAATGTAGGAAATTCGATCCAATATGTAAACGTAACACACAGAACCTGGGTTTTATAATAAGTAAGATTCACATTTTGCCTCTAGAAAACTAAAAACTTTTCAATCATTTACACTGGCCAATTTTACTTTTAAATGAAACATATTGTTTGCTTTCAGAAAATACCTAGTTTCATGGGATTCAGATAAACTTTCCCTGATATTTTTCCAGATAAGTCATTTATATATATATATATAACCTAAAAATATAAAAATCCATTTATTTTATTTTTCCGAGAATATAGGCTGTGACAAAATGACTTTTACTATGTTTGATTATTTTTAATGGGGATAGAAATTTTTATAATAGCAAATCTGAATTGACTTTAGAGGGGTCTATATGGGCCCACAAACAGCAGTGCAGCACTTGTATCTTAATTTTTTTAATAATATTTATAATTTCTCCAGATACCCTCAACAAACTTTTGGTACAGTACTTTTAAAAAAAAATAAGAAATGGCGAAAGTTTTTTTACTTTAAATAATACAAAGTACTACTTAAGTAGGTCCGCTTAAAAAAAAAAAACGATATGTCCATTCTATTCTTCCGACGAGAACTTGAATCTCACGTCAGCTGTCAATAATTTATAGACGTCATCACTCAGCACTGTAATGTTTGGTTGAAATTGGTTGAAAAATGTAGGAAATTTGTCAATTAAACGTAACACACAGAACCTGGGTTTTATAATAAGTAAGATTCACATTTTGCCTCTAGAAAACTAAAAACTTTTCAATCATTTACTGGCCAATTTTCTTTTTTAAAAACATATTGTTTCTTTCAGAAAATACCTAGTTTCATGGGATTCAATAAACTTTCCCTGATATTTTTTCAGAATTTATATATATATTTAAAAAATCCAATTTACTTGACAAAATGACTTTTACTATGTTTTTATTTTTAATGGGGATAGAAATTTTTATAATAGCAAATGAAAGGGGTTTTGGGCCCAAACAGCAGTGCAGCACTTGTATCTTAATTTTTTAATAATATTTTAATTTCTCCAGATACCCTCAACAAACTTTTGGTTTTAACTTTAAAAAAAAAACTTTTAATACAAAGTTATTTTAGGTCCGCTTAAAAAAAAAAAAAAAACGATATGTCCATTCTATTCTTTCAACGAGAACTTGAATCTCACGTCAGCTGTCAATAATTTATAGATCAGCATGTTGAGATCGGCTCTCTTTTATCTTGTCCGAAGAAAGTAGGTAAAAGTTTTTTTTCAAAATATTTTAAATAAAACAAATTTTCTAAATTTCTTCGAATAAATTTTGAAATACGTATAATTAATTTTAAACGAATTTTAAACGAAGAATTTAACTTATTTTTAAAATTTCAAAAAAATATGGCTGATATCGAGCTTTTGTTAAAAATTTCAAAAATTACTCAAAAAATACTTTAGTGTTTCTTCTCAATAATGAAATATACTTTTATCATGAAAAAATTTTTTTTGTTAATTTTCAGACCATTCTTGTCATGCTATATTAGATTTTCGCGAAATAAACGGAGGTACCTAGGTAAGGATCTTATTTAAATTTTCAAATACCAAATTTTCAGCAGAGTTGTAAAAATTTAAATAATAAAGTAATTAATACACAGTTATTTTAAACTAGGAAGTAAATACTAATTGTAATATTAATCTAGAATGCCAAATACTTTTTTTAAATTAAAAATTTTTGTATAGATTGTGTATTTATACACACACAAAGTTTGTTAAAAAAAATAATACAATTCCTGCAAAAACCATCTTTTATTCCAGTTTATACACTAATTTTATTTTTGGATGTGAAAATGATATTGAAAACAAAGTAATTTTTGTTAAAAATGTGTAAACTCTCATAGATTTTTACAGGTGAAATACACATGGTGTAATGACTTACTGTGGAGAACCTTTGTTGACGTGTACATAAGTGTTCATAGATTTCATCATCTTCCTCTTCGTACACAACATCATATAATTCCTGGTTATCATCCAAGTCATTCTCACTATATGACAACACAGATTGCCATCAATACAATGGGTGCAACAGATTAAAAAGAAAACACACACACAAAAAAAGTAAAAATAAAGGAGAGAAACAAAAAAAATTAAGCAGATGCAAGTGCAACAGGAAAACTGGAAAAGCTAGTGATACAGGATCTTTAAAAAAAAAAAATACTCAGTGTAAATTTAGTCTCTGGACAGGATCCATGTTTCCTGCAGCAAAAGTTCAAAGCCAATGTGTAAAGACAACATCAATCAAGGCAAAAAATAAAAATTATATTATGCATGCACAAATAAAGAATCAAATAGAAAATCCAAATAAGAAATGAAAAAAATAAATATGAACATAACAACATTAATATGAAATATAAAGGCACAGATAAGGAGTCATCAAAAAGTTGTTTTTTTCATTGGATTTCTACCAAATCAAATTTATATTGGTTATAACAGTATTCAAGAGTTTCCTGTTCATTTCAAATATTTTCTTGAAAGTAAAATTAATAAAATCATCATTTGAATTTCTTTTACAAACTGCTAGGCAGAACAGGATTTACAAATTAGTTTAAGTGACAAATTAAATGTAATTTTTAACAAGAGATACAAATTTGGGTGATTATTTATTTTGAAGCACCTATTGTTAAATCCAATTATTCCACCATTCATTTACTTTATTGATCACTCCATGAAAGCAGTAACTGATGGTGACATGAGTTTTCAAATACAAAAATATTATTCACTCTTAACATACAAAGTCTTGCACAAATGTTTTTACAGTGATAAAACACTGAACCAAAAACAAAATCTCAACCTAGAAATTAGCTATGCACAAGTCATTAATGCAGTAATGTGCTAACATTGACAAACTACTGATAAGGTCTCTTAAGGTCTCTTTATATTTGTGAAGAGTGATTACCTTCTTACTGAACTGTATAGAAACTACTATCTTACATTAAAATGAAAGTGACATTTCCTAAGTACAAATAGAAGATATTGTTTGTGGGGTTTAAAACTTTTGCTAATAGGATTAGAATCAATGAGCTGTTTTTAATTGTTCCCTTTCATTTGTTCTTGACTTTGCAGCATATAGATTCATGTTATCCTGTTTAGAAGGAGGTGTTTGCTTCTACATACTTGTCCTCATTTCTTAAAAAACTTCAAGCATATCAACATCATTTACTGTACCATAAAGTAATTTGCCTATCAACAAAATAGAATTGTGCATCCTAGAAAGAAAGTGTTTATATCTATCATCCAACTTGGCAACTTAACCTGTTTAATTAAGCATTACATTGATGCTCATATTAGCTATTAAATAGATATATTTTCTTAATTTGCAACACTCAGTTTTATGGAAAATACAGTTCATCTTGAAAAAAAGTGAAATCTTTAAAATATAATTAGAATTACTCTAGCAACAACATGAAACAATCAAAACCTCAATTTTCATAAAACATTAGCATTTGCTTTAAAGAGACGATGCTATGAACATTATAACCTAGACTGAACAATAATCTCATATCTATAACTATCAAGATAAATTTATTCTTGTATAAATATATTTTGTCCAATATAATTAAATATTTCAGTCTGTGCAGCTCAAATACAATGTTATTGTCCATGAAATTTTGCAGATAAACTTGTTAAAACAAATCATTAAAAGGAAATAGTTATAGTTTTCTTTTTAAAATTTTATATTCATAAAACTGAAGGACAAAGAATGTTCAGTTAAAAAAAAAAAAAAAATGGACACCAGAAACATAACTTGCACTATATGGTTAATAAACAAGTGTCCTTTTTAATTTCTTTAATATATTTGTCTACTTTGTTCCATTATCTTTTTATTTCTAAAGTGAGTTTGTATAAAAAAAAGTAACTGAAGTTTTCCACTTACCACTAAATCTGAAGCAACAATAACAGATCAAAGTTTCCATAAATTTTACAATTATTTTCTATTTTAAACTCTCAAGTATTATAATTGGAACTTTTCAATCTTTGCCTTCTGTTTAAAAATTCTACAATCCATATGCACAATAAATCTAGATATTAAATTACCTATGACTGTTAATTACCACTTAGATTCAAATGAACAATAACTGATTAATTGGTTGTATGATCTTATTTTCCAGGTAGAGAAAAAAATGAATCAAGAATAATATTGTGTGTAATGCCATTATCTTACTAGTTAAATATTAGACACAGCCTGTTAAACTTTATTACATTTTTGTAAAAGTCTAATACAGAAACTAAAAAGCTCATTATATATATATCTCAAAATTAAGCATGTAATGAAATGTTACAAATAATTATTACACCTTAAAATATTTAAGCTGAAGATATTTTATTCATGGTCTGAAACTATAAGAAGCTAGTAGATTTGTATTTAATTTTTTTTTTTTTTTTGCTATTTTAGAAGTATAAAAGTAACCAGTAATAAAGAATAGCTCACTAAGCAAGAAAAACTTTGATAAAAAAAATATCAAATAAAAACTACATTGCTTTGACCCTTTTTTAAAAAAATAAAATGAGCCATGGTTTTAAAATTAACAGTATTTAAAAACATAAAAACTCAGCAAGCTTCTACTGATGATAAACTGGTACTAATTCAACATTTCATGAAGAATTGATTTTTTGGTTTAATTGTCACCATTGCATTTTTAAGAGCATTGGGAGACACCATTATAGTTTCTGCATTGTTTGACTGCATATGTGTGCATAATGATAATGTGTTGGTTGGTTAGGTGTCATCGAGTAAATTGGATGAAGCACAATTTTAGCAATTAAACTAATCAAAGAAAGCAATACATATTAATAGCTGGACCTAAACATCTAGAGTTAAAGATGGAAAGAACTTCTCAATGATAGTAGAAGGAAAGGAAGTCTACCAACAAAGTATAGTATGCATTGAAAAAAGATAATATAAAAGAGAAATCGTAGAGGTAACCATTTTGAAAACAAATATATTTTCTTATGTTTAAAGTGCAGAATAATTCTCAAGCATATAGAAGAGAGTGCTGAAAAGTTTCCAGCCTGACCCACCTCCCAAAGTTAGTAATCTGATGTTTGGTCATTGAAATGCTAATTCGAAGAAGTGGGTCGGGCCAAGATTTTTTTTTGCGTGCCTTCATATAAGCAAAAAATTAACTGTAGCTTGATTACTTAGGGACAAAAACTGTAATCAGAGCTGTGTTGTTAAAAGCATTGTAGTTGCTGTCATAGTCACTGCCATCTCCAGAAGTGATAGCAATATTAATTTGGAATAGGCATAATGAAAACATGGTAAGGCAAGAGGAAAACAACTGGACATAGTTGTTATGGCTGATAAACAAGCTGTACTAATGTAGCATAATTAGGAAGAGATGAAGGTTATAGTAAATAACATCATCAGAAATTAAATGACTACCATGAATCAAGGTGTGTTTATTTATATTACATACACACACTTAAACAACAGATAGGGAAAGTCCAGTGGATAATATAAGTAGAATGTTGTCAGGATTGGCCTACTTTTGCTATTGGTTGAATGTAATAGTTTTATTGGTTAATGTAATGCCAAAAACAAGATTGATCTTGTAATTTGAAACATATTGTAGAAAAGATAGATATTATTTCAGGAAATGAAAAAGGATTCTATAATATTGATAATGTGAATGATATGAGGTAAATGGGCATGAAATTTTTTACAATGAATAATTTTATAAAATCATACTATAAATGCATTATTGTTTTTTTAAAGATTAAGAAATGAGGCATTATTTAACTTAAGTACCCAAACATGCTATCTTTTAATAATGACTATTTTAATTGGGCTCTCATAATTTTTAAACAAGAATTATATTCATTTTAAAAGTAATTTCTTATATTAATAGAGAACTTGGTGTCAATAGTTACACATCAAGAGTAAAAGAATATGGTTAATGACTGAATAGCCTGAAATTTTATTCCCAGTTTTGAACTGATCAACCTTCTGCAATATCAGTGCATAAATAGGGGAGAAAAGCTCCGATAAATTGTTTAACTATAACAGCTTCAGAAATTTCAGTAATAAATAGCATGTATTATACAAAGCTTTTTTGGAAATGTAAGCATATACAGGGTGATTGAAAAGTAACTCCTCATTTTAAAATACTTATAACTTTATTAACTATAATTTTTACAAGAAAGGAACATGAGAGGAAAGCATTTAGCATTAAGTTTTATTTAAAATTCGATATGGGTGCTAGATTTCACTACCAGCTTCTCAAGCCACCCAGGAATTGGGTCAACTGATTTCACCAGGAACTCTTGTGGTATGGAATATATAACTTCTTGTATTTGCCCTTTAAGTTCTTCCGAAGTTTTGGTTTGGTATAGTAGACTTGCTCATTTAATCAACCCCAAAGAAAACAGTCACAGGGTGTTAAAGTCAGGACTCCTGGCTAACCACTCATACATAAAATAGGGAGTTACTTTTCAATCACCCTGTATATCATATACTGTTATACTAGAACATACCTATTCTATTGTAAATAGACTCTCCCAGATATAATAAGTAGTAGTAGTAGTAGTAGCAGTCCCAGGGGGATCAGAGTGAGTTGTGTGAGTCAGTTGATGTCGGACCTTAAAGTATCAACCACCACAACTAGATTGCTGCATCATTAACTATTATTTCAAGTTCCTAATGTTTTGTACATCGAACCTTTTAGGACCGACTCAGTGAAAACACAAGCCTCCACTGTGAAAACTACTCTACAACATATACCCTCATAGGTCACTCCATTATTGCTCTTCTTGTACCAGTTAGAACTGCCTCAATTCTTTTTGGCATGGATTTCCTGTAATTCTTCTAGATTGGTTGGCTGCATATCTGGGATTCAAATTTCCCTTTCCATCACATTACAAAGGTCCTCTATGCGACTGAGTGGAGCAAATAATCTAGAAAACTCATTGCTCTATTCCATGAACCAATCTGCCACTATTTTTGATTTGTGGCATAGTATGTTATCCTGTTGAAGTAGCCACCAGA